AAATTAGAAAAATCCCAAATGCACAAGTTTACTTTACACCTAAATGCCCTTGAGAAAGAACAAGAAAAAAAGCCTAACCAAGCAGGAAAAGAGAAATAATAAAGACTAGAACAGAAATCAATGAAATAGAAAATATCAGAACAGTAGAGCAGATCAGCAAAACTAGAAGCAAAATCTTTGAAAGAATTGATTAAATAAATAAAACTCTGGCCAACTTATCCAAAAGAGAATAGAAAGGGCTAAATTAATAAAATTAAGAACGAAAGAGGAGAGATCACGACTACTACCAAGGAAATAGAAACAAGTACTAGAAATTATTATCAGCAACTATATGCCAACAAATTAACCTATTTGGGAAAATGGATGTTTTCCTGGAAACTTATAAACTACCAAGAATGAAACAGGAAAATATAGACAATTTGAACAGACCAATAAGCAGCAAGAAAATTGAAGCAGTAATCAAAAACCTTCCCCCAAAAAAAGACCAGGGCCAGATGGCTTCCCAGGGGAATTCTACCAAAAGTTACAGAAGAAATGATGCCTATTCCAAAAAATAGAAACAGAAAGAAAAGTTCCAAACGCGTTCTATGAGGCCAGCATTACTCTGATCCCAAAACCAGACAAAGACCCCATCAAAAAGGAGATTTACTGACCAGTATCCCTGATGAACATGGATACCAAAATTCTCACCAAGATCCTAGCCAATAGAATCCAACAGTACACTTAAAGAGTGTCCACCACGACCAGGTGGGAATTATTCCTGGGATGCAAAGGTGGTTCAGCATTCAGAATTCAATCAACATGATAGAGCACATTAATAATGAAAAGACAAGAACCATATGATCCTCTCAGTTGATGCAGAATAAGCATTTGACAAAATACAGTATCATTTCCCGAATAAAACTCTTCAAAATATAGGGATAGAGGTACATACCTCAATGTCATAAAACCCATCTATGCCCACAGTGAATATCAATCTCAATGGGGAAAAATTAAGAGCTTTTCCTTTAAGGCCAGGAACATGAAACGGATGCCCACTCTCACCACTATTGTTTGATATAGTACTAAAAGTCCTAGCCTCAACAATCAGACAAAATAAATAAATGTCATTTAAATTGGCAGAGAATATGTCAAACTCTCTCTCTTCAGAGATGACATGATAGTTTTGGTGGAAAATGCAAAAGACTGTAGCCCAGAATTGCTAAACCTTATAAAGCACTTGGCAATGTCACAGGATACAAAATCAATGCAGAAAAATGAGGTGCTTTCCTATAAACTAAAAATGTATCTGTAGAAAGGGAAATTAGGGAATCGATTCCATATAAAATAGAACCAAAAAAAATAAGATACCTTGAAATAAAGCTAACCTTAAACGTAAAGCATCTATACTCTAGAAACCACAGAACGCTTATAAAAGAAGTTGAGGAAGACACTAAGATAGAAAAATATTCCATGCTCATGAATTTGAAGAATTAATATTTTTAAATCTCTATGCTGCACAGAGCCATCTGTATATCCAATGCAATCCCTATCAAAATGCCATCAGCATTTTTCACAGACTTGAAACAAATAATCTGAAAATTTGTATGGAACCAGAAAAGACCGAAAATCGCCAGGGGAATGTTGAAAAAGAAGATTAAACCTGGAGGCAACACATTGCCTGATTTCAAGATGTATTACGAAGCTGTCGTCACCAAGATAGTATGGTACTGCCTCAAAAACAGACAAATAGATCAATGGAACAGTTTAGAGAACCCAGAAAAGGACCCTTAATTCTATGGTCAACTCATCTTCGAAAAAGCAGGAAAGAACATCCAATGGAAAAAAAGACAGTCCGTTCCATATTTGGTGCTGTGCAAATTGGACCCCCACATGCAGAAGAATGAAACTGGACCATTCTCTTTTTTTAAAATTTTTTATTGTTATGTTAACCACCATATATTACATCATTAGTTTGTGATGTAGTGTTCCATGATTCACTGTTTGTGCATAACACCCAGTGCTCCACGCAGAACGTGCCCTCTTTAATACCCCTCACCAGGCTAACCCATCCCCCCACTCTCCTCCCCTCTAGAACCCTCAGTTTGTTTTACAGAGTCCATCGTCTCTCATGGTTCATCACCCGTCCGACTTACTCCCCATCATTCGTCCCCTCCTGCTATCTTCTTCTTTTTCTTTTTCTTAAAATATGTTGCATTCGTTGTTTCAGAAGTGCAGATCTGTGACTCAACAGTCTTGCAAAATTCACAGCGCTCACCATAGCACATAGCCTACCCAATGTCTATCACTCACCCACCCCAACCATCCCAACCCCCACCACTCCAGCAACACTCAAGTTTATTTCCTGAGATTAAGAATTCCTCATATCAATGAGGTCATATGTTACCTCTCTTTCTCTGATTGACTCATTTCACTCAGCATAACACCCTCCAGTTCCATCCACGTTCTTGCAAATAGCAAGAGCTCATTCCTTTTTATGGCTGCATAATATTCCATTGTGTATATATACCACTTCTTCTTTATCCACTCATCTGTCGATGGACATCTTGGCTCTTTCCACAGTTGGGCTATTGTGGACATTGCTGCTATAAACTTTGGGGTGCACGTACCCCTTCAGATCCCTACATTTGTATCTTTGTGGTAAATACCCAGTAGTGCAATTGCTGGATCATATGCTAGCTCTATTTTCAACTGTTTGAGAAACCTCCATA